TGAATCTATATACTGCCAACAGCTGCGCAGCGAAAAGGCTCTGGTTCTTTTGCCAAATGAAAGCTATCCACAAATTCCCGTGGCCTTGAGCTGCGACAACTTCAGGCCATTTTACTGTTCCTCCGTGACACAGGGTTATTTCACTTCTCAAGGCTCTTCAGATAACCAAAATTATTTTTTTCAGTCATCTGAAAATTGCAGTGATACTAGCAACTCATTACTCTTTCTGCCTCCTTGCCAACAAGAGTATTCCAACTATACCTCTCTACGGTCCAAAGCTAAATCATCAATTAATTTTAAGCACCCATTCTCCCGAACGGACGAACGTTTTGTCGGTCCCACATCGTCTGATAGAGCCCATAGTGTTAAAAAATTTCATCATTGGACAAAAGTTTCTCATTTTGTAAAAAAAAGGAATTCACGATCGTCGCGGGAAAAAAATGCAGTCATAAATAGACCACGGCTGTGTCCCGCTTCCCCTATTTATAATAATAAATACGGTCAATTTCAGCGTCAAAATTTGTTAAATTCCAGCACATATTTTGAGAAAATGATTGCCGACAACTTCGTAACGGAAACCCTTAATTCATGTGATGGTAGTATGACTGCTTCGTCTCTTTCAGCAAATTTTAACCCAATAAAGGAGCTGGATCCGGGAATACCCGTAAATGATAACTACACATCTGAGTTTTCTACTTCTTCCTTCTCGGACATAGACATAGCAGGTCTCGACAAGCATATGATGGACGTTTTTTCAAGAGATGCTTATTGTGGCCCAGAGTTACTCGATGATGCCTCCTATTCTTCTGAATTTCTGAATCAAATGAATGAGCTCTCACTGTCCTTGATTTCATCTTTGGACAATCGGCTTACGTCAACTCGTTTTGATATTATATGGCGTTGCTTCCTGCAAGAAAAACTTAGTTTGTGTAATCGCAACATTTCCTTCATGGGAGCTAATAAACTCCGTGCTTGTCTTTACCATCATGGATTAAATCAGCTAGGCTCTGTATTCGTACTCCGAAGGCGTTTGCAAGAATTCGTGAGGCGCGCTCGCGAGGCTTTAGTTAACCGAAGAATGCCACTTGATCGCAGGACTCGTTATTCTTTGATGGGAAAGGCAGTAGAAGGTGATGCATTCACGGAACTTCTTGAGGAACTTCCTGATTCTTCATTTCATTGTCTCGGGCTGAACTCTGATAAGGATTCTAGCAATCCAGAATCAGTACGTTTCTCTGCTCCTCTCTTCTTGGAACCGGACACATTTTATTCATACTTTCTTATTATTGACCTTGAGGCAACCTGTGACAATTTAGAGCGAGTTGACGATGCTACAAGGTTTCCTCATGAAATAATAGAGTTTCCTGTTCTACTATACGACACTCGTCTATCTAGGTGTGTCAGTGTCTTTCATGCCTACGTGAAACCAACGCTGCAGCCAGTACTTACAAATTTTTGCACTGGACTCACTAGTATAAAACAGGAAGAGGTAAATATCTGTATTTATTTAGCCTTGTGTTTCGGTTTTCCATTCATGATTTAAATTTCTTATTTTTTTCCTTCGTATAATGCCACGCGTCATATTCCTATATTTATTGACCGGAACGTAATTGTTAATCATAGTCTTTATTCAGCAATGTTGAACTTTTCATTAAACCTAATTCGCCTTGTGTATTTACTGTCATTGTGGTATGTAGTTATTGAATATCCATTATATTGCAAATACCTATTCTATAGTCGTTATGCTAGTTTATAGCCTAATACTTGAATTTTCTTGATATTTACACCTTCAAATATTAAGGTGATTTCTCATGAAGAAAGACTGCGTTTCAAAGAATTTCTTGGTGATGTATTGTGGCATGAATTTCCATTTCAAAGGGGAAGTTGGTTAAAATGAATTC